CCGTAACCGAATTTCAAAAACCAAACATGAAATGATATCAGAATTTAACGTAGCATCTGAATATGTAATGATATACAGGGCGTTCTATTTTAGAAAATGGAATTTTGGTCTGTAGCACCTACACCAAAAACCCTGTATATTTAAAAATTATATCAAAATATAGCTCTCATGAACTCCTAAAACTTTTGTATGAAACATTTCTGTGTATCTCCTTCAACAAACCAGATATTGTCTGTCACATAAAATGTGGGACACCCGGTATATACCATTCATGAGCTTGAGCTTTATCACTAACGGTAAAGAAAACATGAGTGTTTTCGTCAGTTTCTTCATTATCTGTAGAAACTACATTGGCTGTATTTGATTGTCTTTTCGACAATCTTTCTTCATATGTCCCATTTTCTTACAGAAATGCCATATCACATTTTTCGAGTTACAGTGCTCGATAACCTTTTTAACACACCCTTTTTTGTAAACTTTTAGAACCATTTCACTAGTTGATGTGGAATTTTCCTTCCGCCTATGATACTCCTGTACCAATTTGCCTTTTACTATTTCTAGAGTCAGATCACACTCTGCCTTTCCTTCTAATACTGTTACCAGATTTCCATAGCTTTCCGGGAGACTGCATAAGTAGTGCTACTTGTAGATTATCTGCTAGATTTTCTCCCAATGAGACTAACTGATCGATAATGCTCATCATATTAGCTATGTGCTTTTCCATGTCACCATTTTCAGGTAATGTTGTTTTACATAACTGCTCCAGCAGAAAAACTTTATTGGTAAGACATGGTTTTTCATATTGTTTCCTTAAATTCTCCCAAGCTTCTTTGGCTGTTTTACAATCCTTAACATGTATCACTTGTGAATCTTCGATTAGTAAACCAATTGTAGCTCTCGCTTTACCATCTTCTGCATCCCAATCACTGTTCCTTTGTTCAGGTGGGTTTTGAGTGACTACGCTCCATAGTTCTTCTTTCAGTAAAAGCATTTCAACCTTGTATTTCCATATTTGGTAATTATTGCTATTCAGCCTTACTATGTCGAATTTTGTCACATCCATATCAACAACAGTTTTACTTATATATGCCAGTTTTATTGAAACTTTACTGGGCCCAAAACCTGTTTGAAGATACTTTATATTTATGATAAGAACTTTATGGAGACTTTTTATAATTTTATTTCTAGTAAAAAATATAACAACTGAACTTGACAATATATATCAACATACAGCCATAGAAATATTGAATCAAAAATATATAAATATAATGTGGCTCAAATTCATTTTTGTTGTTAATCTCCAACATGAGTAACTAGCGCCATCCGTGAAATATCATAGACGGCTGATGCAGGAGGCCATGAAAAACCACAATAATTTCAATTGGGACGGGGAAATATTGAAGTTGGACCCAATATAGAACCCAGAAGTGCCCCGCCTATCCCCCTATCACCATCACCTACTGCGTCGTCACCACAGCTTTTCCTACTCTACCGTTCAGAATATAAATATAACGTGTTATTATGTTGATTTGACAATATTTTGAATTAATCTGAAATGTATTTCCATATGCGTATCGGGTACCTACTTATTTCAGGATTTGTAGACCTTGGGGAAGCCAGTATATGCTAGGGGTTTCAATTCTGTAGGGATCAAATTCCTTTATTGTTTGATCTTACCCTCTGAGGTTTTAGAAATACTGGTCTCAATAGTCGTGGTATCGGATTTGTATCCTAATCTTTGGATTCAGTATTTTTCAATGCATCGCAAAGAAAGCAAACCTCCGAAAGGGAACACAACAGTCCGCTTTCGAAATCTGAAATGGAAGCACGTCTGAAGAAGTTAACAATGCGTATTAACGAAACATTACGAAGGAATTATGCATCACGACGGCCTTCAAACCCGGTGAAAGATACTAATGAATGCAATTCTCGCAGATATTCCTGGTACATTCAGTTCCTTTATGATCATCACATGGATTTGGGTAAACCCAGATTTTTTATTCCTTTTGTTGTTGTTTATTGGTTTTCACCAAGGAAAAACACCAAAGCATAAAAATTTAATGTCAAACAGCGAATATTCATACCGAATGAACCAATTTACAAATTACAAAAATCATAGAGGAATGAAAGAAATTTGGAATGATGTATCATTTGACCTTCCATGCAATCAAAAAAAGCTATGGGGCTACCTAAGGCTAAAGTTTCCCATATGAATTCCATATCAAAATTGGACCAAAACAATTGAAATTTTTTCATCTCACATCTATTTTGATGTTCTGTATAGTCACCTGAATTATTTTCGATGTGTAAATCTATAAAAACTGAAGTTGCTCCTTATTCACAATTTCAAACTATTTCTCAATCTTCTTGAAATCAATTTTCAATTGTTGTACATACTAATATGTAGTCTCCTCTCTCGATGTTCAAATATCATTGTCCATTTTGTCACTATTAGGAAATTACAGTAATTGTATTTGTTAATCCTGAAATTCAGTTGCAGACGAATTGACTCGTTCACGAATAAAAATTTTTCCTCGTAAAACATATTTATATAACATGACTGAATAATCCACAATGCTAATATTAAAGCTGTTTTCGACCAAAAGATGGTCGACATCTTTGAGAGCTTCTCTGAACTTCTGTTATTGGTGAATGATTCTGCCGATAGAGAACGTAGTGGTCTATCCACAATGCCACGATCAATAAAATCTCTACAGATTGATGTACTGCTATGCAGAAATCTGTACCTACTATATTTGCATATTCCAGAAAAGTAATTTTCTGCTGAACTGAATATCTGCATTCTGGAAGTTCATAAATATCCATGAAGAACATATAACAGGCGATGAAAATAAAACTGAAATAAAATTCCAGAGTTAGGTCGAGCATCACATAGAAGTGAGCTGGACTGTTGATATCTCTGATGGATTTTATGACGTTTTAGTAAAGGAGAATTGTGTTGAAAGTTACGGAATGTTACAAAAATCATTTAAATTATATTCAGTTGTATAGATCCTCATGAATCGAGTTTAGAATCAGCATTAGTAAAAAATTAATTGCTCAAAATATTCAAGTTCGAAAAATTAATGAATTTTGCATTTTATTGGAACAGCTGGACAGCTAGTCGAATCAACGAAGTCTCGGAAGTCCTTAGAAACAGCTGTGTTAAAAAATCTGTTCATAATCTGTTTCTTTTCGTTAACCAGTTGTATACTCTCATGTGAATGGCAACCCTCAGAAGTGTGGGCTTAAACTTTATCAAGCGAGCACAATTAATATTTATGATATGTATGAAAATCTCCATATATTAATTAGTATGCCAAGAGAACATTAGATATTTACGTAATGAAAAGACATGCCTCTGAATACAATTGAAGAGAACTGTTCAGGAAACTGCAGTAGTGAAAAATAAACTTACTAGTCTTATGTACCCAAAACTGATAAAAAATAGTATTGATTTTAGTCAAGTAGAAAGTGATGTGGATAATTGGAGTGTACAAACACTTCTAAATAACAACTTTCGTGATGCAGTTGATGAAATTGATATGTTTCTAAGTGATATTGATAGTTTTAGCACCTGATGGTGAATCACTACACCCCATTTTCGTAATAAAAGAAAAATGGTTTTGTTGAAATTTTCTATAATCGAGTCAAAAAGTACTAATGGGTTGTATAATATGAAAATGGCGTGTTTTATGAGCGGTGTCAGTCAGGTTTGTCATACACTAACTAAATTCATCTTGAAATTTCCCAGAAAAAATTCATGTAACATACAAACATAAGTTTAAGGGACTAAAGTTAAAATACAGCGTATTTATGAATTCTGGACTGGTCTGGAATATGATAAATGAAAATTTATGGTCTTTTCATATAATTCAATGGTTGGATACGACTTTCAAAAACTTGATCGGAGACAAGATACTAACATTACTTGTTGAATTCAACAAACGATGGGATTGTTCAAAATTCAGTATTTTCTTTTTATGCTATCAATTATTTTCAGATCTGAATTCAAACTCACACTCATTAGAACACTCCTTTCATCTGAATTGTTTATACGACGCAGAATTAGTTCAGAAACTAGATTCTAGATGGACTCGTATTTTTCTAATCGATAACATCTCTATAGACCTCTGTTGGAATAATATGGAATATTCAACTGATCACCGTATTTTCTACGCATGAGCCCTAGCAAGCATTACTGTATTGATTTCTCAGATCGATACCAACTTTTATGAATTGAAAATCAACAGGTGGCATTCACGTAGAAGAAGATGTGAGCTCTGTTCACTAGATGTCCCAGGGCAATAGGAAAGTCATTTGTGAAAATTTGAATGGTTCGCGTTGAAAATTCCTCAACTGTTATACTGTGCGTTCATTTGAAAGTCTACATTCACAAGCACAGGGAACTCACAAGAAGTTATTGAAAACCTTTTATTTCGTTGCAGGAGGCTTTATTTGTCTTATATATTCTTTCAATAAAGAACTGAACATAATTAAACAAATATCCGTCAACAATGATTACGATAGCATTCTAATATATTCTTTATTATCAAAAAAGTTATACAACCAACCTTTGAAGTAAGTTTACCCAATTCGAAGAAAGGAGGATAAAAGTTATAGAACCTTAACCCACTTAGGCCAACCCACTACGAATATTTGAAATTTTCTGCACTACAAAGGTGTAAATATTGCTTTCAGAACCACAACAACTTAGGCACGCACACTGAGATTACCAAAGATAAAACTTCAGTGTCTGAAAAATCTGGAGTGTATGAATCATCATGTGGGTCACGTCCGATGTTCTATATAGGTCAAACTGGAAGAGTGTTCAAAGCCCGCATAAAGGAACACAGAAATAGTTTACAGAATGGAAAAATGAACCCCACATATGCCACTCTTTTATCCACGGAGGGACATGAGTTCTATTATAAATTCAAACCCCTCCATTTCTCGAAGAAAGGTTTGAAACATAACCTGTTGGAAAGTATGGAAATCAACAAATTTAAAAACTCTCAATATCTTAGGAACGATCAAACTGAACAGAATAATTCGCCATTATTAAATCTGTTTATTTCCAGGTAAGAAAAATTAGTAATATTAAGGTATGTTCGGATATTTAATTTATTCATAGAGTTAATGAATTTATATCGGACCTTTTAAGGTAGATTTATTCATTAAAAATTATGTAAACAAGTAGGTGTAATAGGTTACAGTATAAAATAGTTATTTAGAAGTGAATTATTATTAACGCTTGTGAAAGCTATTGTATAGCGGAACACGTGTCGCGGCTTTTGTAAAACTCTTTATGGTGGATATAATACAATAAACTGTTTAATGAGTTTTTATATAGATTTTCATAAAGTATCAGCAAGTTCCATTCAATTATAAATATATATCACAGCAAAATATCTTGACCCAACAATTCGATAATTTATTTTTTCAAAATATTCGGTGTATACCTTCCATGAAAATCACTTGTTTTATTACTCCACCATCAATAATCACATTATGCAAAATAACTTATCATAAAACGAAGCTTTATAACTAAATCAAATGTTTTATAGGAAATAATAAAAAATATTCATTGATTTGATACTCATTAATCCATTCTTCACTACACCCTACACCCTTGACAATGTATTTCGAAAAGAATATTATCTTCAGCAGAAGCGTATTATTGACATAAATTGAGAATAATCTATAATATCGGTTTCCATCTTGAAGATTAATTCGAAAGTCAAGTATGTATTATCTGGAAAAAGTGTTTGAGATCTCTCTGGCAATCATTATCAATCATTTCAGAAATAACTGAAACTATCATTATGAATGGAGAATTTTTGTTCACATTCAATTTGAAGGCATTTCTCATTTCCAAATCAATAATTCGAATAATCAATTTGGAAATTATTATATAGTGATGTGATTGAAAATTATCACTCCAACATTCTATTTTATCAATTCATCGTATATCACATTAATGTAACATTAGTACTTCCTGCAATTTCCGAGTTCAATGTTTGTCAGAGAATCGGGTTTCAAGTACCATTTCGCTGAGAATTGTCATTTTAGCAATTGTCAGCGTAATTATTCATGACGAAGAAATTGGGTTTTGGTACTTCTCTACAACCATGGGCTTCTTGACACAATTCTGTGTCTCTATAATGTAAGTAATGTTTTTTTATGTGTGACTGATGACTTGTATATTTTGTGGTAAAACTAAAATATGAAATTTGAAAACTTGGTTATATTGAAGATTATAGGGGTTGTTAAACTTATAAATTCAAGAGTGGAGACCTATATAAATCGAGTTGCTCGTGTAGGGGAATATATTTCCGATTTTTAATTGATTTGTTGATTTCCATGGCTTCCAACGAATTCACTTTTTCCCTTTATTACATATGTGTAGGATTTTGAGGTTATCTTTACTTATTTTGTGTTTTGTTTCTTGAAAATGTTCGTACATTAAAGATTTTTTGTCCAAACAGACGTGTTCACGCAGCCTTACGTGAAAATTTCTACCAGTTTAGATTGTATGTACTGCAGAGCATTCGCCACACTCTATTCTATATATACCTGATTTTTTCATTTCATCTTGTTTGGGTTTTGCATTAAGCAGAGTTCTGTCTAAAATATTAATACTTAGAAAATCTAAAGAAGTGATTTTGTTTGATGTTTTTTTCATCTAGATATTTATTGATAGACCAGTTAGTCCGGAAGTTTTTTAGAGATGAGTATTTGAATTCGAATCAACTTATTTGTCACACATATTTCATTTTGTAACTCCACTTGGTTCTATGTTTCACCTAGTTTTGTTCATTTGTTAGCTTTTAGAGAAACCAATAGATATTTACTTTGTTCATTTCGTTCCCCAACAACACGGTAAAGTTATAACATAATACAAAACAAAAGTAAATTTCTCGCTACCAAGTTGAATAGTTCTTTTTGGTTTTCTTGGATTTTTGATCAGTCCTCAAGGAGTGTTTTTCTCGAAACCACCTTAATAAATTTCCCAATGTCGTGACAATATCCTGTTGGTATAAATTATGTGAAGAGATGATTTGTTAGTTGAAAATGCAAGTTGAAAATAATTATAACCCAGGATTTTAAATACTCCAATATTATTTTCCCACTATTAATGAACCAAAAATTATCAAAATTTATCTGCTTTTTGTTTATATAACTCATGGAATAATTAGGAGTGCCACATGATTTTTCAAATATCACAGAAAATATTGAATAACACATTACTGTGAGACATTATACAGAATGATAGTACAACACGACTTATAACACAATTCCAAACAAACAGAGATTCAATCAACTACCTGGATTTTGGTACCAACTTCAACTTCAACTCCAAAACTATCCGAATTTAGTCGTTGGTTGATGTTTCGGAAACTATCTCTTTCCCCTTCATTAAATCCTTGATGAATACTCTGAAACTCCTCAATCATTAAAACATTGTAAAATGCCAACTTGAATGTCGTTCGAAATTGAATGAGTTCAATTTTGATGGACAATGAAGTAACATTTCAGAAATTTGTAGAAAATTTTCTGAAGGATTTGGGAAAGAGTCGGAGGTAGTTCTCGAAATCAAAAAAAATGCAATTCGTCGTGAAAATTGTTTGAAGTTGGTTGACAATGTTTCGTGGTGCATTTCATCAATTCGGACTTCCATTGTCTGACATGATATGAATTGATTTGAAATTCTTGAAAAAATCTGTAGAAAAAAATTTAAAAAATCAGCTGAACACCAAAAAAAATTGAACTATTAACACGAGCTGGAAAAAATTTGAAAAATATCAACAAGAAATTAATATTGAAAAAAATTAAAAGATTCCAATTCAAGTTACTACACAACGTTTCAATTTTTAGTATCCACAATCGTCTTTAAGTGATAACTGGACTTATTCCTTCGAGATCTGACTAAGATCTGACTATTTATAGGTCATTCGACTGCTTCTACCTATCTTCCCTCTCTCCACTTCATTGGTTTTTAGCAGGAGCTGACCGTTTGGAGAGAGTTGGTCGTTTTTCGCTTGATTAGAGGTTTCTATATGTTACGTATCTCTACGCTAGCTTGACTAAATGCGTTGTTGGACAACATTCACGCGGCTTCTTTGAATTTTCTCCTAAACCAGTCTTCCTCCCTACATCAGAGGATTATCGGAAAGGATAAGAAAGATTGGGTCCAAGTATAACATCAGGACCTGCTTCAGATCTGGAAACACTATCAGTATCAGCCTCACGAAAACCAGGCCACCAAACGCGTACTGCGATTCCAAGAATTGCATTTACCGGATACCCTGCTAGTGCGGAAATTCATACATCGGTGAAACTAAGAGGCCATTGAAATCATCCACAAAGAGGAACAGTGGTTTGAGAAAAAATTCAAAGAAGCCGCGTATATGTTGTCCAACAACGCATTTAGTCAAGCTGGCATAGAGATACGTAACATATGGAAACCTCTAATCAAGCGAAAAACGACCAACTCTCAACAAACGGTCATCTCCCGCTAAAACCAATGAAGCGGAAAGAGTGAAGAGGGGATAGGTGAAAGCACTCGAATGACCTATAAATAGTCGGATCTCGTAGAAATAAATCCAGTTATCACCCGAAGAAGATTGTGGATACTAACAATCGAAACGTCGTGACGTAACTTGGTTTGGATTCTTTTAATTTTAATTTTTCATTTTTTGTTAATAATATTTTTTTATTTTCAGCTTTTATTATTATTTCTATTTTTTCAAGGTACCTACTCCTGGTAAAACGAAAGAATCGAGCCACAAAGAAAAGCACCCCAACGAAAATCATCAGATTTTGAAAGAAAGCATCGAAATGAAGAACCAAATGAACAGTTACATGTATTCGCGACAACCTCAGCAACAGCAGCAAGCTCAGCAGCAACAGCAGCAGCAACAACAGCAGGTGCAACAGCAGCAGCAAGCACAACAGCAGCAGGCGCACCAACATCAATCGCAACAGCAGCAACAGGTTGGTTTCAAAGAGGTTTTGTTAGAATTCGATGCAGTAGTTGTTTCTTTTCAGCAACAGCAGCAGCAACCTCAACACTCCCACCATAGCCAAAGAGAAGAAGACGTACGTAGATTTTACGTGTATTCCGATCAAAGGAGAAAAGAGCAGCAGAGTGTCCCCGAGCATAAGAGTAGCTCCGCCCCAAGCAAGGTGAGCTACTTACTCTTACTGTAACTCTTTTATTGAATTACAGAAACCTCTTCCGCATATCTTGATTCTCAATGTTGATTTGTTTTTTTTTTTAGAATGTTCCTTTGCCTCAAAGTCCCAACTTGAAAGCGAAAGAGATCAAAATTGAGGACAAAAAGGAGAAGGAAGTGAAGCAAGAGGGGGTGAAACCTACTATGGAGACGCAAGGACCCCCTCCTCCGCCTACTTCGCAATATTATATTCACCCAAGCTACATGCAGCAGGCACACTACGGGGCGCTGCCTTTCGACCCGAATCACCCCATGTACAGGGGGATAATGGTGCCAGGTCCTTACAGTGGTAAGTAAGTTGTTTGACTGTGAGGATGATGTTGAGGGAGTCATGGTCTGAAATTCATTTGTTTTGTCTCTGTTTTGTGAAAAATGTGAGAATATATAGTGTGTCCCAGATAAAAGTCGTAAGGAAGTGAGTAAGAATGTAATATTCAATTGAAATTTATCCAGGATAATTTTTCACAACCTTTAAGGGATTATCAATTGCGTTGGATAAATGGGTTCATGATTAAATTCAATTCAAAATTATACAACTATGGTAAGAATCACACGTTAAATGGTAAGACCTCGTTAGTCCTAAGCTCGCCCAAGTTTCGACTTTTGAGAGTTGTCGATTGTGTAATGTAAATCTTTGAAAAAATAGATGAAATTAGTGAAATGAATTGTGTACTCAACTTTTTTCAAATGTACTTCAAGCTTTTCATGATAGAAGTTTTCAATCAGTATACACAAATTCATAAGTGTATTGAAAGGGTATGGGGGCAAAATTTTCAGAAATAATCACGTTTCTCATTGTTACTATCTTATCTTATGCGTGTATGAATATTTCATCAATTATTTCTTTACGTCAACAGGTAGTCCCTATCTCCACCCCCCAATGCAGAGGTATCACGCTCCAGAAGACTTATCTAGAGCGCAACCTCCGACCAAAGCGCTGGACATGCTACAGCATCACGCCCAGTACTACTCGTCTCACAAAATACACGAATTGCAGGAGAGGGCCATCAAATCGCCGACCCCAAAGACTTCTCTCGCTAGTTCTAGTCCTTCGACTAATAATAGTGGCCCTCCTCCCATTCAGGTGAGTGGACATATCTTAACAGTATTAATAGGCTAATGGAAATTCGATTCAGTGAATTTATATACTCGGGGAATTCCAGAATTTCATTAATGTGAGAATAATTACCTTCACCGTCAATCTTACTCGTGTGATGTATTATACAGGAACCTAGATAGAATAGATAGATATTTATTAAGAAAAATAAACATCACAAACATTCTAGTCGTTACAAATTGATTAAGAATAATAAGAATNCAGTGAAAAATTTCTTTTTCAAGCCTAACACAATAGATTTGATGTCATGTTCAGTCACAGGAGCAAAGAACATAGAATTCGGAATTGTGACGGGTGATTTTGTGCACAGATCAACGGGGAGGTTAAGAGAGTCTAGCTTCTCTCTGACAGAATTTGCAAAGTATTTCCCAAAAATATTTGCTACCTGTGTTTTATCTGCTAATATTTCATTATCTACATTTAATGTGATTTCCTGTTTTTTATTTTTTACGTGGTTAGTCTTGATATTTACCAAATTCCACAGAGCCTTTGCCTTGTTATCAGAGGAGGCAACTGTACTGGAATAATAGTTCTTTTTTATACAAGAAATTTTGTTATCAATTTGCTTCTTAGTTATTTTATAATGACAAAAGTATGACACCTTTCAGTCAGTTCAAATTATTTTTTAATGAAACGTTATCAATAATTAGTGCAATGGATCAACTTGAACTCTGTTCAGAAAAACACGTCCGACAATTTTTTTTTAACAATAAGAATGTCAAGTTGAACAATGTAATTTGCCAATGAAACTTAAATTTCTGTAGTTACAAAATGTGCCACATACACATAACAAATTATTCAAAATAAGGCTTTTTATAAAAAGTATTCGTATTTTTTTCCGAAATTTAACTAGAGAAATATAATTTGCAGATGTAATTATCATACCATTCACTAACTTCGAAGTATGTCGACAGAGGGAACGGGAAATTTGATGGAATAGCAACGTGTGGAATGTATGACGTCAATGTAGCAACACTTTCCACAATCATAGTTGACTTCATTTTAATTTCTTTTGTAGCTCAATAATTTATTTTCATATAAAAATGTTCCTAGATTTTGTTACCCTATGTTACATATCAAGAATATAAAGTTGCCTTGTAAATATTGTAAGAAGAGAGATCTCCTCAGGAGATTGAGAATAGATAATTGTCACACAAAAATGTAATAAAGAAAACTATTCAATTGTATGTTTTACTATACAGTGCATTTCTTTAATGTCCCCCTCTCCCCTTTTATATTTTGAACCGGTCAACTCAAAAAATTGAAATTTCAGATAATGGAATTAATGCATGAATACTTTATTTTGAAGTGAAATTGACAGGTGAAACTTTCAACATGGCGACTGGGCGCCATCTGGGAAAAAAAGTTAATGAAAAAGGGGGTGTTGTGACACATCTTTTTGAAGCTCCTGACAAATGCTTCACAATATCCATATCGAATTCATTAGGATTCGCTTCGACGATTTAAGTGATGAGAGGGTCAACAGTAGTTTGTAGCATATTCAAATACAGTTTCCCTGTTAACTTTTGATCAATAAATAGAGGTTGTACGCTATGGTTTCTCAATATTCCTGCCCAAACGTTAACTTTTCTGGATATTGGGTATGTGTTTCCGGAAAACGTGAGGGTTGGTACCACTCCAATAACGGCAGTTTTGTTTGTGAACATTACCGTTCAAAAAAATGTACATTCGTCACTAAAACACATATTGTGGAGATAGGTTAGAAACCTTGCAATGGTTTCCGTCATGATTTTGAAGAATTCTGTTCTTCGATCAGGGTCATCTTCAGTTAATTGATATACCATTTTAATTTTGTATGAATTATACCTATTCCTCTTCAAAAGTCTCCATATAGTAGAAGGAGACACCTCACAAACACTTGCGACGGAATAAGTAGACTGTTCAAGATTTACTATCATCTCACCAATTATTTGCACTACAGATAGGACGATTCGAAAACGTTCATTGAAAATCCATTTGGTCTCGACGAGAATTGACCATTTCAGAGATTGTTGACGTGGTACCCTTCTACTCGTAAAACCGANTTTTTTTTTCAGGCGTCGCCCCAGATGAACGGCCCGCCCACCTCCCAGCCAGCGAACGCCGTTCCCTCTAGTGGCAAACAGACTCCCGGTGACAACGGCAAAGATTCCCGCTCTCCCCCTCCCCAGAGACACGTGCACACTCACCACCACACGCACGTCGGTCTCGGATACCCCATGTATCCTGCTCCGTACGGAGGTACGTACGAAAAATAATACAGGGTTAGCGAAACTAGTAGAGAAGTCCATGAAATTGTATTTTGACATGTTCGTTTTGCAGCTGCCGTGCTAGCGAGTCAACAAGCAGCTGCAGTGACGGTGATCAACCCGTACCCGACCAAATGAGTGCCCGGACTGAAGGAACGGCTTCCTAGTGAATAAAGCATTCCATAGTTTTTCTTCTCTAATTGAATATTGTGCACCATGCTGTCGATGTAGCCCCCCCAGTGACATTTGTTTCTAGGGCGAATCTCTAGATCATCTGGCGTTATGTCAATTTGGAACAGGGTTAGCGCTTTTTTTACCCGCTTTCGGAATATGTCGGTGCCAATCAGAAGCTTTGGTTTTGCAAGTTGTAAATATAGAGATTAAGTCGATACTTACCCGTGTTTTTTATTTTGCTCTGCTTCCGAGGATTCATAATGGGGTTGATTTATCCTAAATTGTTGTAAATTGGACTGAAATGCATTCAGAACAGGGTGATGGAAATTTGGCCCTTCGAGTCGGATATTCAAGGCGACTTTGAAAACTGTGTTGATAGATACTCCATACAGCATAAATGAAAAAATATCAAAATATAGCAGTTTGGGAATTCAGCCAAAATAGTTTCAAATCCAGAGCACTACAGGTTATATTGGAAGTGGGTTCAAATTCAAGGATCATTTCATATAACAATTTTGACCTCCATTTCCTGCGTAGAACACGTTTTTACTGCCAAGGTTTGAAAAAAAATTAGAAAACCAGTATGTATCCTCCTAAATCCGATGTCATTCAACCCGGCCTGGTTCATGATTTGTTTTATTTTCATGGTAATGTTATCTGATTTCACTAAACAGTTTCACAGACACGTGAAAATAATCTGAGGGGCACATTCAATGGCAGATGATCTGATATTTTCGCCGCTACAGGTATCCAATCAAAGTGTATATTATAACTAGCCCATCCAGCAGTCGTAGTTCTGTCGTATGAAGTATTTCTATACGGTATCAAATTTGATGTCCATTGGAAAAAAATCAAAATCAATAGAAGAAAAAATTCTGGGTAGGTACACCCTAATAATCTAGCGGTATGAAAGAGATTTTTCTACCTATTCTCATATGTACAAAATACACACTAACATTTTTCCATAAAATTTGGGCAAACTGTTTCAGAGGAGTGCGACTACAAACCTGTTTGAAATCAACTTTTTTGGGGATTTTATTTCTTGGGGAATATTTGCCTCCTTCGCCCTGACATTGCCCACAAATGAAGAAAAATTAAATATTTTCTTATGTATAATTTAGCGTCGATAATATGAAAAGTATAAAATATATTGAAATTTGACATTTTACATGTCTTTTGCACAGTCTAATTACATATAGGTTGTAACGTGTCAGGAATCACACGTTAAAAGTTAAGACCTCGTTAGTTCTTAGCTCGCACAAGTTTTTCAACTTCTGAGAGTTGTCGTTCATATGAGGGCGACAGCTGATTAACAGAAAAACAGATTTTAAACAGATATAGATGGGCAAATTTCTCTGTGCTGTGGAATATGTTTTATAATATATTACATATCGATTATTTTGAAATATGTGTAAGATAGTTGGGAAAATGAAATAGATCTTGAACGTGATGTGGATATTAATATCCATAAACGAAGTTTGAACCTACTTTTCAAGTAACCGAGTTGACAAAATTTCTGATAGGCTGCACCCGCCGGTTTTGGAAAATATTGTATGTGTTTACGAGTTTTGACGTGTAGATTACGTTCCAGAGTGACAGTCTTCCAAAGTCCCGAAAATTGCAACTTTCCAGTCTTCTCTTTGAACAGTACGAACACACTTATTTCACCTTCTTTGACGCTTTTCACTTCATTAATCAAAATTTTTCTTTAAAGACCTTTAATAATTGATGGAGCTGCTTTCCCCCAAAGGTTAAGTGGAAGAGCAATTGAATGATGACTTGTCATCATGTAAATTGAACTTCGCCTTTTATCTTCTTATAATAAATGAACTGTACATGATTAATTTGCTTTAAATATATTAGAAGATAATAAAGACGATATTATTATTACTATATGATTTGGTCCTACGAGCCGGATTAAGTGAATATAGCAAATGTAAATAGTTTTGCAAAAGGTGCCACTCTTCCCTTTGGGTGATGATTGGCAGGTTGGACGGTTGTATATTCCAGAAACAGTTTGCATAAAATCATAGAACGATCAGTTGCAAATCGACACGAAACGCCAGTCTATAAAATCGCCAGTTCTAGACTCCCCCTCTCATCCCTTTTACCCTCACCCCCGGCTGTTTTGCAATTGTAATGCAAAAGCAATGTATATGAGCTAGTTATTTTTGAATGTAAATAGTGTAAAGGCGAGCAGTCTTTTAATGAATTCAACATGTTAGATGAATAATTGTAGTAGACTGAATAATTTACCTGTTTAGGTACTGTGTATTTTTTAATGTAAAACTGTCTTCTTTTATTATTATGAAATTTAATAAGATTAGATATAAATTTTCGTTTCTATTCACCAAGGATATACGTCCCAGTTTTAGTGGGACGCGGTATATACACATGTTTTTTTTTTACTTAAAAACAATTGCGGTCTGTACATTTCGTAAGATTCCGTAAATATGTATCATGACAAAATGTTTATCATAATTGTTAGACGCGGTAAGGATCTGGAAACGGTCGGATTGTTTCAAGAAACTGTATTACAGCGAAAGGTATCTGGTAAAATACCTTATTTCAGATTTACACATTTCTCAATGTTTCGGTCTCTTTTTCAAAACTGTCTTGTCGTTAACCCTCTCTTTTGAGGTTAGGTTCTTAGACTCTGTTCTCTTCAACATATGTGAGCCCAATTCAAATGCCTGAAATCAATATTCTAGGTTGTCACAGATGATAAAGCAAATCATAGATGGATATTGTTCTTTTTTCATTTTGTAAAAAAAACACCATGACAAATGGACACCAAATAAAAGTTAACTTCAATCTCAATATCAGTCTATTTTGGCCTAGTTTGAAAATCGGCTGTATATTACAGTATTATCCACTTTTCTTAGCAACGTCACCTGTCTGAAAATATGGATGCTCAATGAGTCTGATCAACTGTCGACATATGGATGCTCTGAAATTCACCATGACATCACAATGTTAACCTATAAATGAGTTTAACAGTGCACAAAAGTCCAAAAAGATAACACATTTTTACTATGGCAGACACATATGCAGCACTGTGTTATTCAATATATAGTTTTATTGAACACTTCATACCTCTTGTATATTGTAGTGCAAGGTGAATTAGTTTGTCTTGTCTATGAATGTAAACTTGTAAATTTTAGCTTAGACTCTCAGTAAAGATGGACAAACGGGTGTAAAGTATATTGAAATTTTAGAATGGACATAAGCATTCTATGGACAATTACATGTAACGTGGGACAGTAGACATGTTACACAAAAAAAATGCGTTGACACGTGTTTATTGAAATTGCATACTGTACATTGAGAGTTTTAAGCAACTAGATTATTGTATTTGATTTTTATTGATTGATACAGGAAATTTGTGGAAAATAGTGAACATACTGTGAAATGCTTTTACTTTACAAAGAACCCACTTCAAGTTGGACTAATTCAATTCGGACAAACTGATGTCTTCTTGTATTAGCATTTTTAGTTTTCAATTCCATATTTACCAGTGTTTCTTGAAGAACCATCCAGAATAACATGAAGTTACTGGCCAAAGTTTCCAGATTCATTACTTTGCTTAAGTTTTGTACATTGTAATGATGAATTTTGTATCAATTATTTTTAAGTAAGCATACTGAATGTATATTATAAATTTTTAGTTTATTTTTAATTCTATTGTGATAGTCGTTGAATGTTTTCAAAAGTAACTTTCGAGCAGTATTTGTGGAAAATTACTGTCTGTACAGACTTCGAGAGGCTTTAATGTAAAGTTGCTTAATAAAAAAATCATTGAACTGACGTGTGTTGAATTCTTGAATGTAGTCGTAAATTATTTTTTTTCTTTTACAAAATATTGGTGAGTATATTCATCAGGATGGATTAAGAATGTATGAATATTGCGAACTTGAAAAAATCTAGATAGACGAATTAACAATAATGATTTCGATTGGCTTCCGGGTTTTGCCGTTGTCTCCTTTGGTTTTAATCTCCAAACGTTCCAACTGCAACTGCGGCAGTCATCTTCAACTAAGGTTTCAGTTGACACGCCAAGAAGAATATTTCGACCGCGCCACTGAAGATGTCTGCCGCAGTTGAAACATTTGGAGATTATAACCAAAGGAGACCACGGCAGAACCCGGAAGCCAATCAAAACATTGACGCCAGCCGTGAAAGCCTATAAACAATAATGAGCTGGCAAAAAATTATTTTATTACAATTTTCCTCTCAATTAAGCCTCTGTTGATTACCATTTTCACTAAAACAATTTACCGAAATATTTTTCAGTCCCGGTCCGTCACGGCATCCCGTCTGATTGATTAAATCAAAAACAAACGCAGTCGTACACAAACGAAGACCAACTGGAGGCTAGCCTCCTCTAACGCCATCATTTCTGCAACTAAAATTACAAATCGGGACATGTCGCTGGCTGGATCGGTCTCGCGGAGCTTGTGTTTTTTAAAGCGGTCGGAGGCTTGGCTCCCTTGCAACGTATCAACGTATGGCATTTATTATTTCGGGAGAAAGTTTACTATAAAATGTCTATTTTCCGAAACTAGAATGTATGAATATTGCGGACTTAAAAAAACTAGATAAACGAATTGAATTGACGAAGAGTACTTCGACCGCGCCACTGAAGAAGTCTGCCGCAGTTGAAACATTTGGAGATTATAACCAAAGGAGAGCACGGCAGAACCTGGAAGCCAATCAAAACATTGGCGCCAGCCGTGAAAGCTTATAAACAAACATGAGCTGGCAAAAAATTATTTTATTACAATTTTCCTCTCAATTAAGCTTCTGTTGATTACCATTTTCTCCAAATTGAAGGTTTATGTTATTAATATAACTGTATTATTGCTTAAATTAGAGATTTCAAGGGGAAAAATGATACATTGTAATAAAATGTTAGGATGTCTTGCATCAGCATCTCTTTGACAAAAAAACAACATGTCATTCTCAGTCATCGCCTGCATTTCGGAAGTATCTCCGTCTGTAGAATGGAACCGATGGTAGCTTTGCTTCACAGATAGCAGAAGTAATATTATATCAAGATATAGTCATAAAGACTATATACACACAGAAAAGCCCGCCGGGGGCGCGAAAATTTGTTGAGATAAATTATACGTATAAAACTGACTATTAAAAAAACAAAAACAAGGAAAAAGGGATGTCTTTGAGTTATTTAATATAAATGAACTCTTCTCAGTTGTCAGCA